AATTAGGTCACTATTCAACATAATGTTGTAATTTAAGTTCATTATAACATTAAAGGTCACACAAGTTGTAAAAAAAGGTGAATATGTTAAAAATAAGGTTATTGTATTAAATCAGGAGTCACTATATTGAATATAATGTCGTTGCGCGTGTATAAATCTTAGTCCACAATAAGGCCCCATTCTTAATTTAGAGCTACTCTACTTAAAAATAATACTTAATCTGCTATGCTCTGCCGAGAAACTCAAAAGAACAGGGACTAATATTATTGTACTTGTATAATATTCCATTTGTTTGTAAAAAGTGGTTATATTTGTCACTTTCGGCGTTTCTCTTTGTTGATTATGTTTCAATTATTTTCTAGATCAAAATATTTGTTTTACACATTTTTCCTTATATATACCTACTTTCAATACAAATATATATTCTCATTTACATGGAAAGTACGGGATAAGTTGGTAGAGCTTTTCTCTGTCCTGGTTTGGTAGAGCTTCTCTTTTGATTTCAGAAGAGTCTAGAATCAATTCTCATCGGTCACCACTACTTATCCTTCCTTGAGGGCTGTGGCTCTCTAAATAAATTAAACACCAAAAAAAATTTAATAATAATCTCATTAACCAATATATTTACTTACTCCCAAAATAAATATTCCTATTTGCAAAAATATTTTACTTATTGCATTGTAAATATTCTAGTTCTACCGTTTAATTATTATCTCAATACTTTTTGAAGATATATGTGATATCTAATAATTACTTTTCATATCTTATTTTTCTTAATAATCTTGTAAAATCACTAAATGTAACAATCTTTTTCCCAGAAGTGAGTAATACTTAATATTAGTCTTTATATGTTAATACCAAATTCATTTCGCAAGTAGATCGAGATTGTCACTTCAAATTTTCAAAGTGACTAGAGTTGAAATTAAATTAAATAAATTCTTATGGTGAATATGATTTTTTTTTTTTTTTGAAGCAAATTTTTATATTATGGACATCGATCTTTTCATAATGGTTAACTAAAATTTTTTTACCTTCCTTTCACAATAAAAGTGTTACATATAAAATAAATTTATATTCAATAAACTATCAAATTGAATGGTAAAATGGTCATATGAAAATCAATCAGAAAATTAAAATTTTTGTTCAATCGAACCAAAAGAAAGTTCAAAAATCAAATTTATGCAATGATATGGAGATTTTAAAAGGTGGTAGAAATCAATAAAATTGTTGCATTTTAGAAATGATTTATCAAGATGAAATGAAGATTATATCACCAAAAGGAGTGACCTTAATGGATATGGGCAAAGGTATCTATGGTGTAAATATACTCAATATTGTACCTTTGTTTTCCTTTAATTAGATAACCTATTTTATACAAACATTTACCAATAAAATTAATTCAATTATTCATATAATTCTCGTCAAAAAAAATTATTCATATAATTAATTAATAATAAGTAATAAAAAGTACTTGTACAAAATAGAAAGTTGATTATTCATATAACCTATTTTTTTTTTTTTTGGTTGTTAAAAGTTTAGCTTAGTTTTTATTTGAGTGTTTTGGAAAGTTCGATTCACTTTTGCTATTTTCCATTTTTGACAAATTTGATCTTTTTCGCTACCTAATGAGTCATATATATATTCACATAGCTAGGTATTTAAGATACATTTATGTATCATATTTATTCAATTCCTTAGTTTAGCATTTAGGTGGTATTTGCATGCATATGGTTTATTCGGTGTGTTTTAATGTTCCTCGTTTGCATGTATTTGGTGTTTTCGATGATTTTATCATGAAATTTTGATTATAATTAATAAACATAAAGGATGAAGGAGAATGCTCAAGGATATTGCTTATCTCTTAAGGACAAGTTAGAGTTAAAAATTTAGCGAAGTGTAATTGAAAGAAGTGTGTGCATTCTTTTGTTCCAAAGTTTTGATCCACAAATGATAACAGAGACCTGATTCCGATTGGGTTGGAAATTACACTCAAAAAGTTTTCCAACTATAGGTCATCACAAGCCTACATTCAACAAGAATTGCGGGATTTATGATGCTTAAATTTGAAGATTGTTAGAGACTTGGAGCACTGATTTGTACCCTATTTGCCAAAACAGGCGATCTTACCCAAATGGTTTGCCCAGGACAGGGGAAGCAACAAGCAAGCTTTAAAGGAAAAATTAGAGCTTCCACTGTACTCGCGCCATAGGGTTTGGGATGGATGTTAAGGTTTTTGGGTTGTGACTTTTCTTATTCCTTTTCGCAAGAGGATCCTTTCATTCATGTTTGTAAAGTTCTTTATGCACTTCAGCTCCCTTTTCTTCTATTTAAGTTGTATTAATCTTCACTTTAGAATTTAGATCAATATAATTTTAGAGGTATTTTTCATATATGTTCTTCTTCTTTATTTGTTTATTGATGTATAATTTTTTAGTTTTTCATTATAACTGTGATATCTTCAATCATGACAAATTGTTTTAGGTTCAATCATGTGTAAACATAAGGTAATAAATATTACTCACTCCGCTCCTAAATGTTTTTGCAAATTAAAACCTCTTCACAGCTCAATTGTTCTGCACATAAAGAGTTTAAGGATATGATTTTTGAAAAAAAAATTATTAATCAGCTCTGATACCATGGGAATATATTGGAGGCTTTATCCAATTAGGGGGCCTAGGAAGTTATATATATAATCAACAAAAATATACACTATTACATTTGTATCCTTGGTATAACTTTAATTATTAACTTGCTTTTGTATTGTCCATTTGCAAGCCGCCTCTTCATATCCTCTCTCTGAAGATCCAAATATTTCCAAAGTTTGTTGCTTTTGCAATTCAAGCATTGTCCATCTCAATGCAACAAAAGTAATGTATGTTTTTCTTTGTGATTTCTTTTAATTATGTGCAATATATTAATTATGTGTTGTTGAAAGTTAGGAATCCTCCCATTACAATTAATCAAATCCATAGTTATTATGACAATCAAGAATCAAACATGGCATATAATCAAGGATATCAAGTGTGATTGCTACCCATTATCTAAAGGTTAAACTTATATTCTAATAATTTTTTTTAAAAAAAAAGCCTCTTTTGCTTTTGTGAACACCATACTCAATAATATTTTATTTATTTTTATTATATAAAGGAAGAGCATGTTTATTTTGGCTTAATTTCAATTTGTTCAACACCTAATTTCTTTCTCTCATAAAATATCCATTCAGTTCACTTCATCTATATTCAGTTCAGTTCACTTCAGCTCCAATCAATTCAGTTCACTTCAATAAATGTGAAAAGGCCCGAAGACGTGATGAAGTAGTTTGTCCACATATGAAGATATTTTTAGCTCTATTAATTTTATAATTTAAATATTAATAATCACTTCAATTATTCACCATGTTCTTAAGATTGACCTAAAAAAAAACAACTCAATGAAACATTTAACAAAATCACAAAAAAAAACCAAATATTTACTAATTTCCCAAAACATTAAAATATTTTTTTAATAAATACAATCAAACAAGAATTAATGCATATAATCTGTAATTATGAACTAAAACCAACAATAGATTTCAGTCTCAAATCTATTTGGGTAATATATATAGATTTTTTAATGTTATTTATTTATTAATTTTCACCATAAAAGAAAAAAGGGTTGATGAGTGTTCCATGTCCTTTTTAAACATCACAATTTTTAGTAGATCAATCATCATGGATGTTCTATGGTTAAACACTTATCATTAAAATCAATCACATGTATATTTCCTTCAACATCATCAATAATTCGCGTTAATTACAACTTTTCTTATATACGACAATGTTGTATAACTCACAATTCAATCCACATTGTCTCGAATAAAAAATTAACCAGTCTCGAATAAATATGTATATAAAGAAAGGTAATGTAGTTGTTGTGTAATAAATTATAGATTATAACAGTCTGTAAAGTTCTTGTAGTAATATTAACAGCATCTCAATTCTAGTTTTATAAAAATTCCAGGTAATAACAGAAAAAGAAATGACCCACATAGATTTGGCGGCGAGTAGCAATGTCGCAATGTTAGTTATCTAAAGTAGAAAATCGTTAAAATCTAAACATAAATGCATAAAAACTGTTCATACCGTTACCTCCTTTACCAGATAATGAGGTTTATTGCTCCTATAACATTGGAGAATCTGAATGCCGTTTCATAACCACAATATCTCAATAATAACTAACTGAAATCTTCTGCAGCCAATGACAATTTTATAACTTACCCACAAAAAGCTTCGGGAGAAAGCAATTAAAGTAAGATAATAAGGTCCATTCGCTTATAAGATAGGAGAATCTAAATACCGTTATATCAACAAAGTGGTTCCATACTATGCCAAATCACTGCAACTAACAACGATACTGTAAGAACACAATGACATGAAGTCTCTGAAAGAGAGCAAGAATAGTAAACTGACACAGTTCCAAGTTTCCAACAGACACATAGACTATCTACACCAACATTAGAAGACAACTGTGCCAGTTTCCTATTAAACGAAAAAAGAGAAAGAATAGTAAAATCACTCAGTTTCACCAGCGAGCAAACACAGAGGTTGCGGCGGCAGCAACAGAAGACAACCACGCCGTCTTTAAAAGAGAGTAAGAATAGTAAACTCACACAGTTCCTTGTTGACACAGGGACTACTACAACAACAGTAGACTAGTTTCCTATTAAACGGAAGAGATAGAGCAAGAATATTAAACTCACTCAGTTCCAACAACGAGCAGATACAGAGTTTACAGCGACAACAACAACAGAAGACAATTGCGCCATCTTACTATTAAACGAAAGTTAGTTGATTATCAAATCAAAACATTAGTAGAAACCAACTAAGGTTACCTAAATTATTAATCCCTAATTTACCATAATAAGACTAACTAATTCTCCCAAATCCAAAAAATTAATGAAATTTTTTCCAAAAGTAAAAAAAAGAAGTTGAAGAAGAAGAGACCCCAAAGAGTGAGAGAGGGGATAAAAGGGCAAAGGGGAGAGAAAGGGGACCCCATATGCTAAAAGGATATGTGCTTCCAAACAGAGCCCCAAAAAAAACTCAAAGCCGAAGGAAGAGAAACAACGAAAGAAAGAGAGATGATTTCCTTTTTTTTTTGCAGAAGAGAGAATCCAAAGGACGACTTAAATTAACCAACTCTCTCTCTATCTCTCTCTTCTCTTTCTCTCTCTTCTCCCCCCTTTTCTTTCTTCCTCTGTTTTCTTGATTCACTGAAACTTCTCTTCATTTACAGCAGTTGCAGCAGAAAAACTACCCAACCCAAAGTACTCTTAAAACTGCAACTAAACTGATAGATAGATAGATATAGATAGATAGCCCAACCTCAAAAAATCAAAAGTTTGTATACACAGAAATTTAGAGAGAGAAAGTTCAGATTTTTTTTTTTCTTTTTTTGGGTTTTGATTCAACCCAATCAAATTCTGAGAAAGAGGGAGAAGTGGGTGTTTTTAATAATTTTTTTTTTTGGATTTTGAATTTGCTCCAATTTAATTTTTTTTTGGGTTCTTGTTATTTTGCCCAATCAAATAAACCCTTCTTCCTCTGTTTCTTTCGCTCTTTATCCAATTCGTAAGTCCTGTCTCTTTCCCTCTAATCTCTTTTTTCATTATTTTTTTCTTAAAGTGTGCAGATCTAACCCAATTGTTGTTCTTCAAATGGATTTTATTTTTTCTGATCTGAATTTGAGAGATCTATTTGTATTATTTTATTGCTGATTTAGTCATTTTAATTTCTTATTGATTTTTTTTTTTCATTGGCTTTCTGGGTTTGTTTTTAATTGATTAATCCCATTTAAATGGGGAGAAAAAGAAGCAAGTTCTAGACTGAAAGAAACAATTTTTGATTTTGGTTGCAGGATTATTCAATTGAGAAGAAAGGAAGAATTTTTGAGGAGCAAATTAATAAGAGTACATTTGGTTTAATTATTCCGCGCTTTCTGGATCGTTGTTAATTGGATTCGGATCGGTATGCTTTCTAATTTTATCTTTTTATTATTTATTTAATTTTTGTGGGCTGTTATGTTTATGGTTTCTTAATTTGATTAAATTTGAAAGAAATAAATAAATTTGTCCTTGGTTTTATTTCTTTGATTTTGATATGAATCTGTATTTGATTGAATAGGTGCGTTTAATTGGGGGGTTGTGATTTGATTTAAAGGAGAGAGAAATTGAGGAATTTGAAGAAGTTTGGATTTGAATTTGATTGGGTTGGATTGGAATTTGAATTGGGTTTTTGATTGGGTTGTTATAATTATATTGACTTGTTGCCCTCATTGGGGCTTGAATTAGGTTATAGAAATGTTGGAGGGGAGATCTTGCTTGGTTTCGAGGGTGTTACCGAGCTCTTGTGAGCAAGAAGGGAAGTGGGGTTACATGAATTGTAGAGTCGGAGTCGAAGTCGAAATCTCGAGTGGCAAACGTCGTTTGGAGAGTGATCGTGAAGGTGAGGGTGGGTTGAGGAAGACCACTAAGGTTTGTGACACCGAGGAGGGACTCTCGAGAGCTCAATTCGATAGGCTTTCGTTGTCTCGATCTCCGGTTGTTGGTCATTCTGATAACCAACGCCAAGTTGGTGATCGTTCTGATATGGATTGCTTGATTAATTCTATTGGCCGTGACATGACGATTAATTGTCTTCTTCGATGCTCTAGGGCTGAATATGGTTCAATTGCCTCTTTGAACCGGAGCTTTCGCTCTCTGGTTAAGAGTGGTGAGATTTATAAGTTGAGGTGGCAGCATAATGTGATTGAGCATTGGGTTTACTTCTCTTGTCGCCTCCTTGAATGGGTGGCTTTTGATCCAGCTAGTCGCCGCTGGATGCAATTGCCCAGGATGAATTCGAACCAATGTTTTATGTGTTCGGATAAGGAGTCCTTAGCTGTTGGGACTGAGCTTCTTGTCTTTGGGAAAGACCTGATGACCCATGTGATTTATAAGTACAGCATACTAACAAACTCTTGGTCGTCTGGGATGAGCATGAACTATCCCAGATGTTTATTCGGGTCAGCTAGTCTTGGTGCGATTGCTATATTAGCTGGTGGTTGTGATTCTCAGGGAAACATTCTTAGTTCTGCAGAGCTCTACAATTCGGAGACTCAGACGTTTGAGACCCTTCCGAGCATGATTAAACCTAGGAAGATGTGCTCGGGTATATTCATGGACGGAAAGTTTTATGTCATTGGTGGTATTGGGGGCAATGATGCTAGGGTTCTAACTTGTGGTGAGGAGTATGATCTTACCACTAGAACTTGGATGGAGATTCCTGACATGTCCCCTGGAAACCGTGGGGATGCCCCTGAGAACGGTATGCCTGCTGCAGCTGAGGCTCCTCCACTGGTAGCCGTTGTAAATAATGAATTGTACGCTGCTGATTATGCTGGCATGGAGGTTAAGCGATACAATAAACAAACTAGGGAGTGGGCAACAGTAAAGAGACTGCCTGAAAGAGCTGGCTCAATGAATGGTTGGGGGCTTGCTTTCAAGGCATGTGGTGGTCGGCTAATTGTTATTGGTGGACCAAGGGCACATGGAGAAGGGATCATCGAGGTTAATTCTTGGGTGCCTAGTGAGGGTGCTGCTAATTGGGAGTTGCTTGGTACTAAGCAGTCGGGCAGTTTTGTGTATAATTGTGCGGTCATGGGTTGCTGAGGAAATTCAAAACAATAGGGTGTTGGTGCCATTGATTTATTCATCCAAAAATGGTGCTCTCCAAAACAATAGATGTTGCAAGGGTTGGTTTGTCCATGAGCCGGAGGAATTCGTGCTAATGGGGTAATTATCTTGATGTTTTTTTTTTCTTTTTTTTCTTTTTTCCATTTGGCCAGGGGAGAATACAGGGAGGAATTAATTTCTGATTTTACAACCAAAGATTCAAATTGAATGTTTTAGGAGGTTTTGGGGCTTCCTCCCTTTTACTTTCATATGATGAATATTTTCTTCTTCTCATTGAATTCTGGGCTTCTTCCCCGTTTCTAGTAACTTCGAGATAAAAACTTCAACAGTTTATTGTCATGTAGCACAGAGACAGGAATTTTAATAATTTCGAGTACCAATACATGGGGTAGATTTTTCACCAATACCATTTTTCTTTTTTTTAGCTTTCCTAAGGTTACAGAGTTTTATTTATTTTATATCAGTTTCTTGATCTTTGATTTTCATGGCATTGTCACAAAGGAGAAAATAAGCTCCACATTGTTTTATGTATCTTTTACTTCTTTTGTGCAATTTATGTCCTATGTAATTCTATCTTCTGTATTCTGTTTCTGATTCGATGCTCTCAATCCGAATATTGTCTGTCAACTTGAGTTCTGATGCTGAATTTGTGATCGTCTCACTTTGTATGTCCGAACGTCGATGATTTCTATTGAGATTGATCTAGTGATTGATGGGGTTGCTACCCATGCATTGATTTGACACATGATCATTGTTTTGGAATTTGATTCTGTTACTTGTATCTGTCCAGTTTTTTTGACTTTGAAGAATATAGTAGAACTGAATATGTTTTTATTCTAAGCATTGGAATCTGCCTTTTCATGCATTTTGAAAGCTAGTGTTAGAAAAACTTCTAACAATCAATTTCCGGATTAATATATGTCAAGTTGATATCCTTTGTAAACAATATTCCATTAGCCTGATTGTCGATACTGTTTTCCTGGTTGTTCCTGGTTTCGTCGAGAGAAAAGATGCAGGAACAAGATATGAGTGTGAAGAATTGTTTTAATCACAGGGCGTAAACGTAATGTAGTAACTAACAAGCAAGGTACAATTGAATAAGACAGGAGAAAAAGAGAGAAATGTGCTTCTCACCCTAAAATGGGGTATCTAATCCGGTTGGAGGTTATATCAATTATGTCACAATTTGATGCAAAGTTAATTGCATATTGTGGATGGTGCTCCTTTTTTTAGTTGTTGATGTTGATATAAAATTATCTTACTTTGGAATTTTGTTTTTCTACTGTAGTTTTAGAGTACATGAATTCGCCACCTTTTTTTGCCAGTCTGGTAGTCGTTCTTGTCTGTTTACGAAGTATGGATTTTGTTTAGACGAAAGGTTTAACCAGAAAAGAATTTCCATACAGGTCTTTTGAATGCTTTCCAATGTCGTAGATATAGATAGTTCACGGACCGGGACGTTTTTCGCCGGGAAGAGGGGGTTGAGTCGACTGGCTGGGGGCTTGTAATTGTTAGTATGGTAAATTTATCAAAGTATTGCTTAGTCTAGTGGTTAAATTTGTATCTCATAACCTTGAGGTTTTAGGATCAAACCCAATAGTGGCACTTTAAGGCGGCGTTTTCCTAATCCTTTCCCTAATTTCTAAAGTGCCTATCCTTGCTAATTCGTACCGGAAGGACCTATTAGAGGTTCTAACTTGGTATGATCCTTTTCCTTATAAACTTAAAATAAAATAAAATAAAAAAAGGAGAAAGAGGTAACCTTGAGTAAAATTTAACTAAGATCCTACGGTGTGGGGTATGAATGTTGCAAAGAGAGAGTTCTCAGTGGCAGTAGCTTGGCTAGTGGGAATACCCTAACATTTCTTCCCTACTCCCAATTACTTGACCCATAAAGTATTAATCCTAAAAGAGTAAAGGATGTTCTTCTGTATACTCGGGTGTATAATGAACTCAATTATTTTTTGTGCTTATTTTGATTGTTAAAAGGATGATTATTGCTTAAATGTTTATCCTTGAATTCGGATTTATTTATAAATTTTCAAAAAAAAAAAAACCTTTATAATTGAGGTTTGGTTAAAGAGTTTTTCCTCACCATCTCGTTAGACGTAACCCTAACTAAAATTGTATCCTTTATAATTTTTTTTTTTTAATTTATGTTTTTTTTAATCTAGTCTGTATTACTCGTATTGTTAGCATGAGTTATTATATGGTAATCTTTATCTAACTTGGGTACCTCCATTTGGCATTGAATGATTTACCGTTTATGTAAATGTTAATCTTCTCATAATTGATACAACGAAGGCAACATATATATAGCAAGAACATAACATAAAAAGAAAGATCTTTAAAGGGCCATTCTCTTTGACTTGTAAAAATCAGTTTCTCTTTATTTATGATTTCAATCAATAAATGTCAGTTTCGTTCACTAATTAAGAATCATTTTCTTTTTAATCCAACAGTTTTTTTATTAGTAAAAGTTGATAATGGTAGATCATCTTTTTTGGAATAGTGATAATTGTAGATGATAAGCTCTCTAGAAAATCACAACCCCCTTCCCCCTCTTTAAAAAATATTTAAAAGAAAAAACAAATCCAAAATTATTAGTATGTCATTAACTTTTAATTTATTACTTAATGAATTTGGATTTGACAACATCTGTTATATAATTTGCCAATGCCTGAATTGAATATATTAATGTTCATCTTTAGCACTTTAGTTCATGTTCAGCAAAAATATAGCTGTAGAGGTGGTTGTCAGGTTATGGTAATAGTTGTTAGCTATAAGGTTAACTATTCATTGTGAAGATAAATAATGAAGTAATAATGTTTGGTAAAGTAGCGCTTTACTGGCTGTTCTCTTCAAATCTAACGAGTGTAGGGGGAAAAAAATCAATAGCTACCTTTAACTTTCAAAAGTTACCACCACCGGTAAGCACTACCTCTATGGCTCTACCATTATATTGCTAAATACTTAAATTTTTTAATTAAGTAGTGATTTGACTTGGTCATACCACTAAAAGTAACCTAAAAGCTAATCAAAAGCTACAATCAAATACAAAAGCTACTACTGAACATGCCCTTACTTTAACTAAATTATTAAAACTAGAAATTCATATTGATATTTATACTACATATTAAAAGACATTTCTAAAACTGTCTATTTGCCACAAGCACTCCATTTTATATTTGTATTACACCACATCATCATTTAACAACCTGTAGCATCACGCCACATCATTATTCAACAATCTTTATTCATGACATCACAAATTAAAAATGCATACAAAGAAACTTGATCATCAAACCTCATTAAAGGAAAACCGCATATATTACCATCTTTGCTAGAAATAAACCATGATATATTAATCTGCATTTATATAAATAAATACATACAAGTATTAGAGTATAAAAATATCAAGCTAAGTTTGGTCTAGTGGTAAGATTGTCACCTTCCAAGGTTGGGGGTTCAATCCCCACTAGAGACACATTGAGGGTGGAGATCCCTTACCCTTCCCCTTCACTCTCAAAGTGTATGACTCGCAAATACCGGACCAAACAAACTGTAAGGGTTGAGGTTCGGTCAGGGTCTTTCCTGCACAAAATGACATTTGTCTTCCATGCCAAAATTATTATTTTTTTTTTAATTTTTTTAAAGAAGGGCGCTTTAAATATAATGATACTTAATTTTTACAAAAGAAAAAAAAATTAATATAGTGCACAAATTTTGGCCACCTGGGCCTGCATTGCTTAAGGGCCTATTTACTTTAGCTTAATTTCAATTTAGTTCAGCTCCAATTAATTCAGTTTAATAAATGTGAATAGGCCCTAACTTTTGTAGTGCCAAACATCTAAATTATGTGTTTAAGTTAAAAAAATTCATACCTTTTATCTGGCATCCATTAAGGAGGAGGATTTTTTTTCTTTTATTTTCGAGGCAGTAGAACATATTTTAAAAAAAAATGTTCATAATTTTAACTCAACTAGGGAATTTTTAAATTTAGCAGCAAGAATAAGAGTATTACGAAATATTTTATACGGAGTATCAATTATCAAACAATACTACTTGTGTAACATGACAAATATTTTTACTACGTACTTCCGGTCCAAATTACTCGCAACTTTGGAATATTTTATATCTCACAAATAATACTCCAAAGTTGCGAGTAATTTAGACCGGAGGTAGTATTTTTTTTCCCGTGTTAGATCGTGTGTAGAGCTAGCTCGCTCCAAAACGGTCCGTGCACAGCTAAGTAAAATTGTCATATTACTCATATACATATAGTCCCACAAAAAATAAATAATACAGTAAGACGAGTCGATCACCGCAGTTTTAGTTAAAATTTATAAACAGCTGGACATGAGAAGAAGACAAGCTAATGGTGGCTTTGACAGCTTCAAAATAATAGTATAAATTTCATGTAATATAGTATTATCATTTCATTAAACAGTGTAATAATCTTATTTATCATCAAACTAATGACCCTATAATTCCTTTACGTGCCAGAATTTGATTAATTGAGTAGACCTCTCATTCATTCATTAACATCATGACTGGTTGTGTTTTAGTCACGTTTTCTACCGAAATTTTTGGCTTTTTTTTTGTTTTTTTTTTTTTTTTGCCCTTAAATTATTTTTAAATTTTTATTATTTTTAAGGTCAGTATTGAACGTCGAAACATGTTGCCTAATTATGATATTTGGGTGCTGTTCATGTTATTGACTAAGAAATTTGGAATTGATAGTTAGTTGTTACACATTTGAATTCTTGTTTTTTAAAATTTTGTATAAAGTTGGTGTGTTAGGCTGAATTGCTGATGCAATTTTTTGTTAATTACTATAAAGATGAAAGTCAATATTTTGACCTTTTTTTTTATGCTTTTCTTAATTGGAGGCTGGTGCTGTGTGTTTATAACTTTATTTTTTAATTTAACATGATCTTAAAGGTGTGAATATAAGCCTCCATTTTTTTTCACATTAAAATGAAATTATAACTTTTTGAAAAATAAAAAAAATAATAATAAAAAAAAAATTAGTCAAATTTGTAGCTATTATACATGTTATTAACGGATAAGATATAGTTGCCTTTTTATAGTTTTAAATTATTGCCTTAATTATCTTTTTTGTGTTTGATTGAGGGGTTTGGGGAGTTGATGTGGGTTGAGAGATGAAACTCATCATGAAAGCTTGATGAACTCGAATTGATACTACTTTTAAATAAAAACTATATAATCAAAACTAGATTTTAGGGCATAATAAATTAAGACTGTACTAGTTCCAAATAAAAGTTAATTAAACTACATTAATCAAAAGTAAATTTTATTTTATCGTCCGAGGACAATAAATTTTCAATAATTGTAAATATTTTACTTTAAAAAGATGTTTAAGTGGTTAAGAAATGTTTTCAAAAAAAAAAGTGCTGAAGAAATTAAGACTAATGCATACATAAACTTAAGTTTAAGATCAATTTATAGCAACCAGGCCATTTTCTAGTATTCCAACGCATTTTCTACCGATTGTAAAATGAACGCCTATAATACTAATAGAGTAATCCTGTTATTCTGACAACGTTATCCTCCTATTATACTTATTGATTAACCCTTAAATAACAAATTAACTTCTACAATACTGATAGATTAACCCCTAATTACTAAGGGTGTAATCTATTTA